ACACACACACACACACACACACACACACACACACACACAAACTTTGTGTCCTGTTCCCACTCACCAATAGCACAGCCTGCCTGTGGATGAAGGCTTGCTGCAGAGCCAGTGTGGAAGTGTCCAAGCCTGGGACTGGGGAACCGGGCAGAGGGCACAGGTGTTGGGGAGGCAGGGGCATGCCTGTGCCCCGCCCAACCCTAGCCCTTTCACATGCTCAGGAAGCACTGACTGGGCTTGATCTTCGGCTCTGGGGGTCTCCGGGGGGTGTCTTCAGAAGCGCTGCTGCTACTTCCATCCGGCTGGCCCCCACCTTTCATGCGGTAGGCGACGGCTGTCGGCTTCTCCAGGTCCTGGGGTGAGCAGTGACCGCCTCATTGCTGTGATCCCCCGGATCCATGGCAACAGGCACCTGACACCAGCCCGAGCTCTCAACCCACCCCCTCCCACAAGGACTGGCCCGTGGGAGTCGGTGTCTGTGCTGGGGTTTCCTAGGGCAAAGGGAGTCTTGTGAGATTTGGGAAAGGTGATCCAGCAAAGCCGTTCCATAAGGGTGGCTTCTGCCACATGTGACAGCTGGGTCCTGACATTTAGCTATGGGACATTTGGCCAGGGACATCCCCAGCTGCCAGGCTGTAGGGCTCAGGTGTCGCCCTAGGACATGGGACACGTCTCTGGTGGGGTGTGCTATTGAGTCTGCCACCTGCTGCCACCCGTCTGTATCCCTACCGCATCCCCACAGGCCAGCACAGGGTCGAAGAGGCTGTCCAAGTAGCCATCCAGCTCCCGGGGGGGCACCGCGGGCTCTCCAGTGCTGTCCACAGCTGGTGAGGGCACAGAAGGGCCAAGTTTACATCTTCTGTGGCTCTCCACACCCTCTGGTTCTTTTCCTTCTGGTGCAGTGGCCATTGCTGGTTGACCTTGGTGGGTCGCTGTCCATCTCTGGGCCTCAGTGTCCCTGGTTGCAGTGTCCTCCTTGTGGCTGCAGTATTCATCAAAGGCAGGCATTTTGGGCACATGGTCCTGGGGCTGGGGTCTTGTGGGTGTGTCCTCATCTGAATCCCAGCAGTTCCCAAACACCCTGTGGATGGAAGGGGAGGCACAGGCTGGCTGACCCCAAAGAGGTCCCCCGAAACGCCTGTGTGTCCTGGTTTGAGTGGCTTCCACATTTGAGGGGCAGAATTACTAGGTGTGGTGGTGCACACCTACACTCCAGGCTCTAGACGCTGAGGTAGGAGGAAGCCTTGAGCTCAGAGGCTCGAGGTCCACTTAGCTCAAACCACCAAACAAAAAAACAGACCCCACCCCCAGAGCTCAGCCTTTCCCACCGACAGGCAGGCAGAGCCAGCTGCCCAGAAGAGGTGGTCTGGGCAAGTAACTACGTACCCCCTGTTCTCTCCCCTGCCAGCCAAAGGCCCGTCTGCACCCACAATGAAGTAGGATTTCTGCCGAGGGAAGTCCCTGAGCAGTTCCAGGTCTGACACCAGGTCCAGCACATAGTCATGCCCAGCCAGCTCTGCCCACTGGACTCCATTCTTCATGGCCACTGTCCAGCCCCTCCAACCGTCAGCTATCCCCCTGGTCAGTGTGCAGAGGAATAGAAATACTGAAAAAATTGTTAGGCATTGTTTGGACCCTGCACCAGGAGTTGGGCCACAGGCACGGCCAAAATGGTCCTCTGGACTCCCCAGGGATTATGTCTCCTGCCCCTCCCTCCTTCCAATGTCATAGGGTGCTGTGTGGGGCATTCCGGGAGCCAACCTGTGCTTTAGAATGTCTCCAGCCACTGCTTCTCCCGTACTCCAGGCGTGCACCGGACAGGAGAACTGGTCACCTGGCACAGCCAGTTGCTGAACTCAGTCTGGAGCATCTCCAGGCCAGCCTCTCTGGCTCCCATGCCCTTATCCCATATCTCAGCCCCCACGTCCCTACGCTGCCACATTGGCATGAGCCCCCTCCCTAGCTTCAGAACCTTCGGTGGTTGCTGCTGACTGCAGCTGCTCTTCCTTTAGGAAGAGAAGCAGCCTGAGGGTTGAGCCTACGTACCATTGAAGCAGCTCACATCTAGAGCCATACTGGCCTTCTCCTGAATGGCAATCCACTCGAGCTGTGTCGGGGGAAAGGTGCGGGCAGCCCCCGAGCCCATAGCTTGCAGGAGACGATGCTGGCACACAGCCTGGAAGCCATTCTGCCCATAATCAGACACAAACCTGGGGAAGGAATAGGGAGTTGGAGCCTCCTGGAGGCTCAGGCTAGCCCTTAGCGCTAAGGTGAAGTGGAACAGCCTCAGGTTACCTCACAAATGAGTAAGGTTAGAGAGAACCCTAACGGTCTCTCACAGCCTAGAGTGCTGAGGCTGGCCTAAAAAAAGAAAGTCGCAGGTTAGCCCGGAAATATCCAGTCTAGCACAGAAGTCCCAAGATGGAGTAGAACGGCATTGTTTGGATGGGGTGTGTGGCTAAGCATGGGCCAGAACCTGCCTCTGAAGGGCTGTGCCCTCCTCTCTTCACTCCATAGTCTGGGCGACTATCCGCTCTTCGCCTGGCTTCCTAATTTTCATCTGTGTGAGAGATGGCTGTGATGGTCCAACTCAGCTCAGGGCCAGTGAGCTGTTCCCATCAGCAGGTCCCCCTCTTGCCTTTATCCATTCTGCCCTGAGAGGGACCAGGGTCATGCTTTCGAGAAGACCCCTCCCAGGCAGTCAGGGGGCCTACCCTGCTGATGGAGTCACCAGTCACAGCACTGGCTGAGGAATGGCCGCCTTCTACATGCTGGCCTGGAGAGAGGTCCCTCACAATCTGGAATTCATCGATAGCCCGCTAGGTGGATCCTGTTACCATTGCCCACTTATAAACAGAGAGAGAGACATAGTGGCCCTGAGCCATGTGGAGGGCCCGTGCACTATCTTTCACGGCAGCAGCGGGGACATGTTGTCATCGTGGAAATGCCCACAAGGCACTTGCCATCTGCTCATCTCTGGCCTGCATACTTAACATGAACTATAGAGTAGTTGTCATCACCACCCTCTTTCTACAGGAGGTGAAACCAAGGCCTGGAGACGTTAGCTCAACTTGGGATCTGAATCCGGGCTTCTGAGTCCAGCTGTGTTCCAACCCGTGTCTGACCCACAACTTCAGCTGAGAACTCTTAGCTTCTTAGATTTCTCCATGCCTCCCTGTTCTGCCCCACCCTGGGTTCTGTCAGTTTTCATCCATTCTGACCTGATTCCTCCCCTCTGCAGTAAAGCCTGCCTTTCTTCCAGCTCTGGGTTCAGTTCAGCGATTGCAGCTCTGGCTGCCATCCGAGCTGGTTGGTCTTCTGGCGACACAGAGGCACCCACTGGCCTGACTCCCAAGCTCCTACCCGGCCACCTATTGCCCCGTGGGTTGCACTCACTTGAGAAGGAACTTGTCAAGGTGCGAGGAAGGCGCGAAGCCACTCAGGCAGGCGGCCAGCAGCAGCCAGCCACGTCTGGCATTGTAGGCGTTGTGATTACGCCACACCTGGTTGGCCAGCTGGGCTAGGATCTCATCCCGAAGATCTGGCTCCACCAGCCCCCGGTGCACAATGTAGTTCCCCAAGATCGTCTCCTGGGTGCCGTGTAGGTGGGGGTCTCCCATGAAACGCAGGATCTAGGGCACAGAACAGATTCTCTTGGGCTTCTGCCCACCCTTCAACATGCATTCTTGTCATGGTCTCCTGCATATATATATATATTTCCTCATAGTTCAATATCGCTCTCCTATTCAATGTCAGACAGCCAACAGGAAAGTCAGGATCCAAAGTACACACTGGCTTCCTCTCCTGCCCATGAACCTCCGGTGGCCCCCATTCTTTGCCAGCATCCTCTTACACCCTTGGCCTCCATCTGGCTCCACTTGGTCCTTAGGCTTCTCAGGCATTCAGATATGAGAGCATCACTCCCAGGAAGCACCTCCGCCTCCCCGGCTCTCTGGTGAAATGGGACCTGGGGCCTGCGACCTAAGCTCCCACTTTCCCTTTTTCCCCATCACTCACTTATCCTCCTCTCAGTGTTTCTGATTTTCCTAATAGGTAAACTCTCCTCTCCAACGCCTCCTCATCCAGGCTGCTTTCTGTGGCTTGCCTGGCTGTACCTGGGGCTCATGAATTCCCTCTGCACATGGTGGTGGTCCTAGGTCAGAACAGGAACTGTTCCCCTTAGTCTGGGGAGTCGTTAGTAGGTGCCAGAGAGCCTCCGAGGCAGCACTGCCAGGAGGATGACTGGGGAGAAAAGACCTCAGAAGGAGGCCCAGACCTTTACGCTAACATAAACTTCTGTACCCAAGAAGAGACATGGGACCCAGGAGCTGGGCTTGAAGGCCGCAGAGGATGGCCAGGGCACAAGGGGAAGTGTGTAGCCGCCTATCATGTAAGGCTATGCACTTGACGCCTGGGGGCAGGGGCGCCTGTGGCCTGGTACCGTGGCAGAGCTGTGCACTTGCAGCTGGACTGGGACAGCTCCCGTACCAGCTTAAAGACACGTATGGCTTCCGCATGGTGCTCCACAGGCAGCCGAGTGAGAGGCATCTTCAGGGGCACTGTCAGCATCCCAAAGGAGGGTTCCTGGGGACACAAGGAGGGCATGGGAAGTGACATTGGGGACATATTCATGTCTACCACTTCGTGTTGGGCAAGAGTGTAGGAGACCGTGAGGTGGGCTCCCTGCTCCAGTGCCTAGATGAAGAAGCTGAGGTCTGGAGAGGGTAGACTGTGGCCCACAGAGAGCAACTGGGGTGGGAGCAGAGCAATCCTGCTGGGCTCTTTTTGGAGGACAGGACACAGAGGCAGGCTCTGTGCCACCTCCTAGGCTCTGGGATAGGTTCTGACTATCCCAGGCTGCCTGGTGAGTTATACAGCCGCAGTCCAAAGAAGTCTCACTATTGTTAGGGCCCTAGGGCTCCCAATGAGCTCATGTCCACCCCAAAGAGCTTTCAGGGGGGCTGTGCCAGGTCTGGGTGTCAGTGCCCATGGGTCCGGGCACTTATGCCAGCCATTACCTTGAAATGGCACCGGATAAACTTGGCCATGGGATAGTTGTTGATGTCAAGGGGAAGTGTGACACAGGGCTCAGCCTGGAGCCTAGGAGTCCGGACCACGGCCACGCGAGCCACACTCGACAGCTTGAGGCCTGTGGACATCGGAAGCCCGTGGCGACTGTGCCCTTTGCCCCAGCCCTCCCCCACTGTGAGAGAAGACACACCTGCTGCTGCTTGCAGGAGCCCAGCCACCTCAGCTGGCACCTCCAGGTGTCTCACCGGCACCACTTCACGCTTGCTCAGCTCCTGGAGGGATGGGCAAGGCGTGAAGGGACAGCGGCCACACCTCACCTGCTGGTCTCTCTCCCTGCCCCTGCTGTGGCTTGGACCCTGCACCCACCTCCTGCTCACGTAGCCATGCCTCCTGTGCCTGGCGCCTCCGCTCTGCCCTCAGCTGCAGGAGAGCAAATGGTCAGGGCACAGGTGGCAGAAACCACGGCCAGGTAGCCAGGGCAGGCGCGAGCAGTAGGGAAGGGCCTGTGGCCTGGAGGCTCCTGGTGGCACTGATAGAACTGAGGTAGTGACAAGGCAAGGGAGGCAAAGGTGTCGCCAGAGATGGGATGCGAGGAGGTGCCAAGTGGAGCACTGGCAGGACCCTAGGAAACTTGTTTCCCTAAAAGCATTGCGTGCCTTCTCAGCTTTGGCAACTGGTTTATGTGACGGGGGACAAGACTGGCAGAGAGCTAAGTACCAAATCACACTAAAGACACTCAAGTCACCCAGTGCCAGTCGTGCCTGAAGCTCACTATGGCCCCAGTGGCTACATCCTTCCATGCAGCATCTCCTTCCACCCTTCTCCATGCCCCACGGGGCACACCAGGAAACAGGCCTCACAGGAACCACGGGTACCCAGCTCAGGAAGGAGGCATGGCAGGGGCTTGCACGGAGATGGGGATCCTCTTGGGGTAAGTGTCCCCCCACCCCGGCAGGTGTGTACCTTGAGGTAGCGGCGGCGGTTCACGTAGGTGTGCACCAGGGAACGGAACTTCACCACACTCTGCCTCATCTGCTGGTAGCGTTGTCTGAGGAGTCAAGGATGAGGCCATGGGGTGACAAACAGCCAGAGATGCCTCTGCCACTGCCCATACTTCACTCTGGGACTCTTGGTCTCGAAGGAAAATGAGTTCAATGTGGAACAGAGACGGAGTCAAATCCACATGGCAAATCTAGTGGCGGGGCCTGGGTTGATCTCACAGTGGCCACGTGCTACCCATCATGCATCAGTCCCTGATGTGCGGGTAACCGGAATACCCTCTCTGCTGTGCCCACAGCCAGAGGACAGTGACCTTCCTGTCGACCAGGTCACCCTTCCTGTGGACGCCCGTTTCAGCTTGGGTGCCTCCGGAGACTTCCCCTTCGGTGGGCCTCACCTGGCTAGGAAGCCCCGGGCTCTGCTCTGCAGCAGGATGATCTTCCGCCGCAGGGAGCGGAAGCGCCGTTGGATGAAGAAGCCTCGCAGGTAGCGCTGCAGGGTGAGGGCAGCTCGGTTCTGGACTCGCTCCCGCATGCTCTCCAGTAGCTGGTGCAGGTGCTCCTTGAGGAAGAGCTGGAAGTGGGAGGCAGCAATGATACCTCTATTGAGGAGCCCACAGAAAACAGGGAAGACAGGGCTGCCTCCCGGAGCTTGGCTGGGAGTTTGGAGCCGCAAAAGCTAGGGTACCCCTGACATGTGGCAGATGGGGCACCTGAGCAGAGCTGAGGCGGGTTAAGCTGAGACATCTGGGTGCCCCCCTTGGGTATCGCTGAATGTGGGGGTCTCCAAGGCTCACCTTGCTGACCCCAACACGGTACATGTCTGGAGTGACTGTGCATAGTCTGCTCAGCAAGGACACGCACATCTCCCCATCTGCTGGCACGCTGAGCTTGAGGGCCACCAGGCAACGGTACCTGGGGAGCCAAACTGAGCCTGAGGGCCTGATATTAACCCATCCCCATGTCTGGGGGTGTGGTCCAATGGGTTGGGGGGCTTGCTCACAGCACTGTCCCCCAGAGTAGTTCAGGGTGTCAAAACTGTAATCTGCCACTTCCGCAAAGCAAGATCCTTTACTGACATCTGCTGGAGCTTGTCCTAATAGCTATCAAAATCTCCCTAGAGAGATTCAACACAGATTCAACTATGGAAACAACAGTTCCCGTCACCAAGCCTGGTCACCTGAGTTTACTCTCTGGTGAACTCATCTCCTCCATGTGATGGAAAGAGTACTGACTCCTAAACTTGTCCTGTAACCTCCATACACACTGTGACACATTTGAGCCGCTGCCCATTAAGTGAAGACATGTAATAATAATAATAACAATAACAATAACAACAACAACAACAACAATAATAATAATACAGCAGCACAACAGCTATATCGCCCATGTCAAATCTAGCGTGTTTGTATAGTGCATAGCCTGAACAACAGTGCATGACAGATCCTGTGTGGCTTAGGCTGTGGGGGCCTGGGAGGAGGCTGTGCCCTTAGGAGCTACCTAACGGAAATACCTGTCGATAAACACCTGGAAGGGGAGCCGCACTGGGAAGCCTTCCTTGCGGATCCTCACAGTCTCCAGAACCCCTGAATAGCGTAACTGTGCCATCATCACATCTGGCTCAAAGAGTCCTGGCTCCTAGAAGGATGCCCAGAGAAGACATCTGCACATCACCCATTCGGGTACACAGGCACTCTCAATGCTGAGTAGTCTCTGCAGTGGCAGGTGGGGGCCACAGGGGCCGAGCCGGAGTTGGCCTTCCCAGGGGCCTCACCTTCTTATGGTTGGGTTTCAGGCAACGCACGAACAAGGGGTTACACCTGGGCAGAGGGGGAAGAGGCTGTGTGAGAGCTCAGAGAAACGGAGTGGGTGCTAATGCCCTGAGGGCCGAGGGGCAAAGGTAAAGGTGAGGCTCTCCCATCCAACCCACCTCTCCATTTTTTCCACCAGGTCCAGGAGTGACTGCTGGAACTTGGCTGCCACAGTGTGAGCCTTGTAGAGTCTGGTAATGGAGCTGCTCTTGCCCAGGCGCGGAGGGGCGGTCTGTGCAGCATGGGTGGAGAAGAGGTGTGCCACCACCTGGAGGGGCCAAGGGATTGGAAGCCAGTGGCAGACCGATGAGGAAAACAGATGGAAGCAGCAGGTTGAGGGCAAACCAATAGGAGTCAAGTCCCTAGACTGAAAGGTTCCGAAAAACAACTTGGCTCTTGATGTTCCTCCCATCCTGGCTTGGATATGGGCTCAGCACCTCCCAGGGGACCCAGCCCCCAGCAAGGCTGCTTTTCCCTCTCATTCTGGGGAATGCGTAGCACTGGCTGTGAACATGGCCCCGGTCAGGAACTTCTGCCCCTTTGACAGATGAGAAAAACCATGGTCCACAGGGTAGGGGATGCAATCATCCTCTGTCATGGGTCCACCTGCTGATAAGCAATGGGGCTGGCCTTCCAAGGAACCCAAATTCAGCCTCTACGCACTCCCCAGTGTGTCAGACTTCAAACAAAGATGAAGAATTCAGAACTCAGTCTCCATGGCCTGCTGGTTACTACTGTGAGCGAGGTTGGAAGGGTCTTAGAGGGCCTGAGGTGGGGCCCAGGCGGGTGGGCTGGCAGGTAGCTGAGGCAGGGATGAGTTAAAGGGCAGGATCCAGTTACCAGGGCTTCCCTTCTCCTGGACTGGGGAGAGCCAGGGACAGAACTCGTGGAGGCTACATCAAGTAAGGACCACTAGGTGCTGCCAGGAGTGTGGGCAAGAGCCACAGGGGTTGAGGTGGGTGAGAGGCCAGGCTGGCTTACCCTCGTGCGGCTGTGGACAAACAAGTCCAGCACGTCTTGACGCACTTGGTCATGGTTCTTGTCTAGGAACTTGTGCACCTGAAAATGGGAACTAGTAGATCTGTGGCTGGTCCCACCCACCCTCACCTGTCTGCAGCCAGGATGTACCAAGAGCTCGATCCCAGTCCTCTACATTCCCTCATTTCCTGCCAGACGCTGCCTGCCCTCTGTCCTAGAAGGGAATGGGCTCTCCCCTCTGTCCTGGCTTCTGCCCATCCATTCCACCCTGTTCACCCTTCCAGGAGGGGTGCTATCCAGATTGGGCCTCAGAAGAATAGCATTATTAGCCCCGATTTTTTTTTTTCAGATGAGGAAACAGGCTCAGAGAACTTATGCAATTCCCCAAGGCCACACAGCTGAGGGGCTACAGAGCCGGAATTGGAATCCTGGCAAGACCCACGCTGCGGTTCTGTCTCCACCCTGCAGAACACAGCAGCTGAAGCCATGCTGGCTGCTTCCTCTCACCTGGTAGGTGACCTTGCCTGCATAGTGTTTGATGGTAAACTCCGGCAGCGGCATCTTGGGTTTGGAGTAGAGCGGGTTGGCGCCGTGGTGGTAGTGGCACTTCTGGAGGAATGTGTGGTCTGTGGCCTGTGAGGGAGAGACGCAGGGGGACCTGGGCACCTGCTCCTGGCCCAGCCCCAAATGCTTCAGCCCTGAGGGCTCTCACAGCTGTGGCTGAACCAGCCGACTCCCAGCTGCCTATCCCGATGTCGTACCCTGTGTTTAAGTCAGAGCGTGAGGGCCAAACCCAGGTCACCTCATCTGGAACGTCCATCCTTAGTCACTCCAGGTGACCATACACGCACATTTCCTGCTCCAGGCCGGAGTGCAGAAGGGTGACCTCAGTAGGGAGTCGGCCAGACACCTCAGCAGTGTTGGGGGCTTACCTGTGGGAAGCAGCACTGGTCATCCAGGATGCGCAGGATGCCGTAGGGCTTCAGGGAGATGAGGTTGATGCAGGGCTGGTTGTCAGCAAAGGCGATCTCTCTCCAGTCCATCTGCTCTCGGATGTACTCCTCCTGTGAACAGCGTGGGCCCAGTGATCCAGGCTGACCTATCTCTGTGTCCTGCCTTCTGTAACATGGAGCCAGAATCCTACCAGGTCCTACCAGCAACAAGGACCCGCAGGGCCTCCCTTTCCCAAGAGGACTCCTCTCTGGACTCAGCAACCACAGACCCCTCCCTCCAATCGCAGGCCCGTGTGCTTCTCCTGCTTAGACTGCCATTTTCTCCATGTTTCCTATACCCTGTGTGGTCAGAAAGGCCCCTAAGCAGCCAGGATGGACAAGCAGGAGTGTGGAGGCTGCGTACCTGTTCCTCCTGGAAGACAATCTTGTTGAACAGGTACTGAAGGTTCTCGTTGGCGTAGTTGATGCACAGTTGTTCAAAGCTGTTGAAGCTCAGGTCCTGCCAAGCACATGGAGGCTAGGTCGGGTTCCTCCTTGGTCAGCAACCCATCTGTCCCCTACCATGGACGCTGTGTACCTTTACCAGGTCCAAGCCCAGGCCTCTCCCCGTCCCCTGAATTTCATGTTTGCAGTTTCAAAAAGCTGAACCCTGACCACAGACCCGGGAAGGCCCTCGCACACCAGGCGTAGCCCATAGAAGAGCCAAGAGCTCAGGTCACCATGCCTTCTGCCTGGCTATGCCACTTTCTGGCTGTTTGTAAAATGGGGACCCTGGCAATACCTACCTTACATGGCTTCTGGAGTGGCTTTAAAACAATAGTGCCTTTTGAGTGTCTGCTGTAGGCACAGAAGTTTTACCCAGTCTTTTCCCATTACCCTCATTGAGCACAGCAGTCTCCCCACAACAACACTGGTTCCCCAAACAAGCTAGTCCCCTGTCTCCGATACCGCTCCTTCACGTAGGAGTGTTTCTTCCAGAAAGTTGTCTCTGGCCCCTGAGCGGTTGACTTGAAGGCTCCCCAGTGCTATCTAGCTACATGTCAGAGCCGTGGTGACAGAATCCTGTCACACACTGTCCCCAACTGGCCTCACTGAGTAGTTTTCCGAGGGTAAGGCCCAGTCTGGTCCCACTTGGCCCTACCTCGAAGCCATATATGTCCAGGATGGCGATGGACAGTGTGTCTTGTTTTGGGGACACGAGGGCGTTGACCCTGGTGATGAGCCAGCCAAACAGCAGTGCATACAAGACCTTGGCAATGGCATCCCTGGAGCAGAGGCCATGTTGGCTGAGGGTGAGTGGGCTCAGGGCAGAGGTGCTGGGGGTCTGGGAATCAGGCCAGGAGGAACACAGTCTCACCTGGCATCCACAGCACTCTCCACTGTCAGGGGTGTAAAGATCTTCTCCCGAATTGTCTCCTGGGAAGAACATGGTCTTTGAGTGACAGCTGGCTGGCCAATGGCTCAGGAAGCCCCTACAGCTGGGAAAGGGGTACTGGAGATATGGGGTAACTGGTCTCAAGCTCCCTGCTGGCCAAGGCAGGACAGAATGCTTTCTCTGTACTTGGACAGTCAATCAGGAGAGACAGTTGCGGGTGTGATGGGGGAGACAGGCCTAAGGAGACATCAGCCTTGGGATCAGCCTGGAGGAAGAAGGGCCTTAGAGGAAGCCATGACCCAGCCAGGATCAGAAAAGTTTTCCTGGAAGTGAGCATTTCATGTGTGCCTGTGTCCACCCCTACCCGCCCAGGAGTGGAAGAAGAAGAGAATCAAGACTGGGAAAAGTGCATGTGGAGGCCTGAAGTGAGGCCCCACCTCTACAGATTTGACTGGAAGGTGACCTGAGAGGTGGGGAGGGGAGAGGGAGGTGTGGCCCTGGAGGCCTGGGGCCTTGTCCTGGGGCAGGGCCCTCAGACTCACGGTCACTTTGAAGGTAATGGCTTTCTGCAGGCCCTCAGGAGAAACCTGAAGTAGCTCTGCCACGGCCTGGATCTCCCGGGCACTCACCACCGAGGCCACCTCCTGGGCATCAGTCTAGGCAAAAACACCAGGGTGAAATACTAAGGCAGTAAGCTAAGCTGCTGGGATGAGTTTAGAGTTCTCGTTAAGGCAAACACAAGCTAGAATGCCAGAGAAAGCCCGGAGAAGTGGAGGAGGCTTGCTGGGGTAGGAGAAAGAGAGTGCAGACACTGAAACAGCCTGGTGTGGGGGTGTGGCTTAGAAGTTGAGTATTTGCCTAGTGTGTGTGGGGTCCTAGGTTTCATCCTCAACACCAAAATACATATGCAAAGCAAAACAGATGGGCTACAGACCCAGTAGATGTATTTGTATGTGCTAGATGGAGTAAGTGTACAGATGGATGATGCACATTAGAAGGTCTGGAATTCGGCTGTGGAGGTGGCTCAGTGGATAAAACATGTGCTGTGCATGTGTGAGACCCGAGTTCAGATCCCAGCATGCAGGAAAAGCCAAGCCTGGTGGTGCTTATCTGCAACCCCGCACTGAAGGGACAGAGCAGTTCCTGGGGCTCAATGATCAGTCCCTTGGAAATGGCAAGCTATGGGTTCAGTGAGAGGCGGCCCTATCCCAAAAGATAAGGTGGGGAGCAATAGAAGAAGATGGTCAGCAATGGAAGAAGATAGTCAATGTTGATCCCTACCCTAGCCTCCATCATATGGGCGCGCGCGCACACACACACACACACACACACACACACACACACACACACAAACACACACATGGGAGGAGGAGACAGAGGGGGGAAGGAAAGGGGCTGAAGAGATACTCAGCAGCTAAGAGAATTTGACCTGAGCTGGAATCCCAGCACATCACAACCATCTCTTGTGCCTCTGGGACGTACAATACCTTCTTCTGGTCTCTGAACACTTGCACACACATACAGACAAAAAGTTTAAAAGACAGACTTCTCAGCACTGGCTGGCTATCGAGCCATATGCCTACAGTACCAGAACTTGGAAGGCTTGGTCAGGAGAACTACATAGCAAGACCTTGTTTTCTGGGAGGGCAAGGACCAAATCCAGGCCTTCTTGCATGCCACACAAGCACTCTATCAACATCCCCAGCCTAGAGAGACAAGCCTCTCTCAAAATGACCAAAACATCCACAATATATAAGAGAAGACTGATAAACAGCCTAAAAAGGATTTAAAAATAATATAGATGGCAGTACCCTCCCAAAATACCAAGCTTATAATAAACAAAATCAAAACATAAATGACACGTTTTCAGTAATCTGAAAATAATCGTCTGACTTTTCTAACATATGCAGAGAATTCTCACATATCATGAGAAGAGAATAAGCCCAGGCAGAGGTAGAAGAAAACGCAGGTGACTTGTGTAACCAGAGAGGAAGCTCACAGGCCCGGGTGTAGCTTTGCAGTTGAGTGCCTCTTACCTCATGTTTCTCAAAATAGACATTGCCCAGGTGTAAGATGGAGGCCAGGATGCGGAAGATGCTGTCCTGGTCCTCACTGGTGAAGCCCAGCACCTCCATGGCAGCCAGCAGGCGTCGGAAATCATCCGCGTCACTCTTACCAGCGATCTCACAGTTCCCACCCTGGTTCGGGGCAGGAGCTGGGGTCAGCGTCCCGCCCTTAAGCTGAAGTCCCATCCGGTCCTGCTTTCCAGGAGGTTCTGAGGGGGCCCAGGAGAGCTTCACAGACTGTGAGGAGGGGCAGCTTGCCACCTGACCCCAGGCAGCATCAATGGAGGGTGGCCCATAGGCCAGCAAGCCTTTGCATGTACTCCTCACCCACACCTCTACTTAGAGGTACTCTGTTGTCCCCATTTCCCAGAAGAGAAAACTGACACCAGGAGGGGCCATGTAGTCCCATCACATTGGCTAGTTCTGTTCTAGGCTGTGAAGAGATGAAGGGTCAGGCATGGTCCTCTCTCTCCTGAGGCCCGGTGTTCCTGTCCTCATTGCCAGGAGCTGTGTGGCTTTAGGGCTTTCGGGCCACAGAGCTGGGTAGCCCTTTGTGTATGCTCACCTGGTTCAGGTAGTAGTAGGTCTCAGCTTCCTGCAGGCTGAAGGCCTGCCTCAGTTGGGCGGGGAGCCCGGCCAGCAGCTCATAGAAAATATGATAATTTCTCTCGTTTTTGGCCTGCGGGGGAGGAAAGGAGGGTTCAGAAAAGAGCGACCCCCTCAGCCACGCAGCCGTGCTCAGGTTTGCATGTAAGCATGCCCACGCACAGGGACCGGCAGGCAGGCTGGCTGGCACCACTGCGGTGACACCTGAGGGCATCTTGGTGTGATGAGGTGCTGGTCTAGCTTTGCTTGGAGAAACAGGAACGAGCCCACCCGTTTTTCTCTCATGTTTGCTAGCCCCGAACGCCCAGAGATGTGCAGCTCTGTGGCCCAGATGTTCACACAGGGCTTTAGATGGGTTACCTGGCCCATTTGGTCTTCTTGAGCCCCAGTCCCCATGGGATACCGTGGGGACAGACCTCACAGAGCCCATCTGCTGTCTGGAGACATTTGTTAGAAGGGAATGTGTCTCACAGTTGCGGGGTGAGGCACTGAAGGGTGGGGCTCTGATAGGATAAAAGGGACTGCATAGGATAAGGTAGCTTCCCTGAGCAAGAGATGTGACAGCATGACCTGGAGGAGGCAAAGGGTTTGCGCCATACATGCACCCCATGTTCCTGGGGTACGAACACACACACACACACACACACACACACACACACACACACACACACA